AGTGAAATTAACAATGTAAATACTAAGGCTTAATGTAAACTATTGCCCATGTATCAAAAGTGCCCTTTGCTAAGTCCAGAATATGGGGTCATTAGCCTTTCAAAAGGTTCCCTTGATGGCATAAGAGTTACACAAATGTAATGTACTTATAAACCAGTGCCATCTCTGCGTGCCTTAATAAGTCTTTAGCATTCAGTCTCATGAGATAGTGCCCTAGTCTGGCCCTCTAGAAAGTCTTATTTACTCATTTGGCTCAGAGAGTAGATGCAAGGAGTAAGGAGGGTGGTAAAAGGCTGGAAAAGTGTACTCACCAGTATCCTGGGAATCTTAACAAGCCCAGGTAAAGGAGCCAGAAAAAGAATAAGTAATGGCAAATGGTAGTGGCTAAATATACTATTTTATTATATTTTATAAGGGTAAAGGAAAATGAAAATAAGTGCCCTGAGGAGCATAAAAGACAGTATTTCTTTGATATATGTTGTGATCTCAGCAATAGTCTGACTGTAGTGATAATTCAGTTAATGCTTACCCCTATAACTAAATGACTGAATTTATAAACAGGTGAGTCAGTGAACAAACAATTAACAAAAGGACTTTTTTATGGATAAAATTTATAAGTTGAGTTTTAAGTCAATATAGTGATAACCGCTGCGTGTCCCCTACCCCATATCCTATAATTATATCTCTCGTAGCACTGCACAGTTGCTTCCCTATATTTGGGTAAGCCATTCGAGAGAGCAGAAAACATTTCTGATTCATCTGTGTTTCCTTAGCACTTATAGTGTACATGCGAGGCATGCAGTAAATCCTAAAAAGCAAAGCTAGGGAAAAGAAACAACTTTTTACAGAAGCAAAAACAATGAAAAATACTATTTAAACATGAGATGAGATGATATGGTAATAGATGCCTTGCCTTAAAAGCTAAGTAATTCTCAGGAAGAAGTGTTCGATACAGTATTTGGAATATATATTTTCTATTTCTACTCTGAAATTCTTTGAAAAGTAGTAAGAGAAGTACTAGATTGGATGTGAATGGTTTATAGTCTGTGAACTAAAGACGAGTTACAGGGAATTTTTATTGAAAATTTGAAAATCTAGCTGGGCATGGTGGCGCACTCCTGTAATCTCAGCACTTGGGAGTCTGAGGCAGGAGGATCGCCACAAGTTCAAGGCCAGCCTAGGCTATAGTGAGACCAAAACTAGCCTGAGCTACACAGCTAGACCCTGTCTCCAAAAAAAAAAAATCTCAAAGTCCTTCTTTACCCTTATGCCTCTTCCTGATTTATTATATTTTTAGTCTTTCCTATTTCACATGATTTATAATATATACAATATATATATAAAGTACATAAAATACAGACACACACACACTTTATCCTCCTTCACTGTAATGTAAATTCCTTAAGTGCAGGGATTATTTTCTGTTTGGTCTGCTGCTGTGTCTTCAGTGTGAAGAATAGTTAGTTGTTCAATAACTATTCGTTGAGTGAATGGATGTTTCTAAACTTACCTTAAGCAAGACGTAGTGCCAGTTGCCACATTGTTGTGGGTGAAAAATACCCACCCTTATTCTTGAGACTGTTTCTGTTGATGAATTAGTAATTATAATTTTGAATTTTATTATATTAAACATTGAGTATTTAATAGAAAAAAATCAAAAACAAAATATTGAATTTTTAATGTTTATTGAATGTTTATAAAAATAATAAATTCCTATATGAACTACAGTGAAAATACCAATAAACTCTACAAAAATAATCTTTATTCAATTATCACACCTAAGGCAATCTTCGTACATGACAGTAGCACATTCCATACATATATATTGTTTACAGCACATGTGTTTTGCTTTCCTGACTTTTAAAAAATTTATTTATTTATTTTATTTGTTGAGACAGGGTCTTACTGTATAGTTCAGGCTGTGTCTTGAACTCCCTGTGTAGTGCAGGCTGGCCTCAAGCTTGGTGCACTGTTTATGCCTCAGCCTTCCAAGTGGGAGTGCGGGGATTATAGATGGGTGTCACCATGCCGGGCTTTCCTGGCCTTTTTGTTGGGCATATTTGACATCTCGCTGGTCTTGCTGTTTTTTGATGAAGTTCTTATTATATTATACAATGAGTAGTTAGCAGGAACATAAAATATCAATAAAATATTAAATTTTTAATGTGTTTTGCACATTAAACATCAACATTTTCACATCAGCTTTGTGCTTGCTTACAAAACCTGAAAGATAACATCAGAAATACATTCCTATATGAACTACAATGAAAATGCCAGTAGAAATCTACCACAGAAATAATCTTTGCTTCAAGTGTCACGCTCCAGGCAATCTTCACACATGAAAACTGCATGTTCCATGCACACGTCTCACTTATACTCACTACACATGTGCTTACCTTCATTTCCTATGTGGCAGGTCATTCTTGTCACTTCCCTGTCTTCCTGTATTTTCAGGAGCTTCCTACTGTATTGTACAGTGTGCATTTGGGGAAATAAGATAGCAGTAAAATAAAATATCAGATACTTAATGAGTGCTTAGAATAGTCACATCAGCCATTTACTTGTTTATTCAACCTAAAAGATAACATCAGAAATGAAAACCTATGTGAACTGTAATGTAAATACAAATGAAAGTCTATTACAGAAATGATCTGCCACAGCAATAATCTTTGTTTCAATTGTCATACTGATGATAGCCTTCACACATGAAAACTGCATGCTCCATACACAAGTATCACTTACACTGATAGCATGTATGTTTTGTTGTCCTGTTCTTTTTTGTAGGGCACAGTTGACATCTTTTTTGTTGTCCTGTTGTCATAGTAGTAGGTCTTTCTGATGCTGTATCTGCCTGTTCACCTGTCAGCTCACCTTTATGCTCCATAATTTTTTTTGCATAGTTCCCTGGGAAGAAGCATTTTGTTTTTCCTTTGTTGTAAATGATCTCTTATGAGTTCCAGTCCCAGTCCTCAAAGAAAGTTTCCTCATGGTATTTTGCACTTGTTATTTTGTTTGTAGACTTATCAAACTATGCCACATATGTTTGAAGATTGGGTAAAATGCAACCATTGGCCAATGCTTTGTGTTTCTAGTGACATCATAAATGCTGCATGGTTATGCATAATATGCATCAACAACATCTATTCCACCTTTGGTTTTGTTGTAGAAAACTACCATCTCAGGCTTCTGTTTTGTCATGGTTTCCCCTATCGATATTTCCATCATGGTACAATGTTGACATCAGCAGTACCAGTTTGTTTTTCTTTGCCCCATATGAGGCCAGTGTTATATCTTTCTAAAACCCAAGCATTATATACTGTACAATTCTCTGTTTTGAAATTGCAACATTTCATTTGAAATTTCTACTTTGTTCCTGCATACAGTTCTTATGCTGGTCAACTTGTGCTCTGTTAGCAAATATAATATCAATTGGAAACTGATAAACCAATTGTTGAATGGCACATTCCAGTTAGTTTGGGAGATGGCAACAAGTCTGTCCACAACATCATTTGGTTTAATACTGCACAAATAAGGACCTAATGGCTGAGTTCCAGGATAAATTTCTAAATTGAAAGCATGATATCTTTACATCTACAAGGGCATAAATTTTTATGCCATAGTTTGAAATTTTTTTGGGAATATACTGCTTGAAGCTACCATGACCATGAAAAGCTGCAAGGTGTTCATCAGTAGTCATGTATTCAGTAGTTTGACAGTTACCCACGTGTCTCTCAAACAGTGAGCAGATAGCAGCCAGATTATTAGTTCTTGCTCTTTCTTGGCAGGTAGTTTTGTCATGAAGTCTCAGGCAATTTTGAAAGAAACCAAATCTCAGTATCATCCCTATTCTACAAATCTGAAGCACACACCCATAAGTCTTTCACATTCCTGTGATTGCCAGTGGAAAGCTCTGTTAAGAACAGCAGACCCATGAATGCTTTCAGTTCAGCTATAGAGGTGTCATAATAAATACATTTTTGAGTATGGCTATTGGTGAATACAGAATGTTTTAGTTATATTTCAGCATTTGTGTATTTCATAACATCTAGTAGCATTTTGTCTGTTACAATTTCCAATGCTGAATAGCAGTGCTGGCGTTCTGTCTAACAGGTTTCACCCTTGCCAAGATCCTCACTATGTTTTCAGATCTAGTTCCAAAGACGGGTTATTCCGTTTGGTTATGTGACTGTTTTGTACCATTTCAACCAGTCAAAGTGTATTCACATTGCTGTTTTGCCATCTGAATCTGTATTCCCTCTTACCTGAGTCAATTGATTCTGTCACAGGAACTTTTGCGCCACATGGCCAATGTCAAAGTGATCTTTATCATCCATGATTTGCTTTTGACTTCCTCAAAAACTTGCAAATCTGATTTTGCATGTGCCATTGTACTGAATTGGGCTACTTCTACCAGGAAAATGAAAACTTTTTAAAAAACAAATCCTAAATAGCACAGAAATTTAGCAGTGAGCATTTCGTGGATAAAACTCACTTGTTCCTGCTTTTGTGCTCCTGTACACACTTTGCCATTTGTCTGCCAAATTGGTGAATACCTAGGTGGGCTTTTGCTTTCCCCAGGCACAGCTACTGTGAGTCACACCCACAGTCCATTATGGTAAAATACGTGTTTTCACAACAGACCAGTGTGTGGGTGTATTTTACCCCCTGTGATGCTCAGATAAACATGCAAAACCTGTTAGATGGAAACAGTATGTGGGTAAAACTCCCACTTTTGTCACACATGCATACACCTTGCCATTTGTCCTACCAAGTGGATAAGCATAAAGATTGCTTCCTGTATCCCCCAGGTGCTGCTACTGAGACAGTTGGCTCTACTATTGTGCTAAAGTACAAATTTATAGTAGAAAAGTATGGGATGGGTTGTTGTAACTCATTGTTATGCCCTATAGATTTTTAAGTATCACTTACTTAAATTAAAATGATCAGTGATTGGATGTCTGTTGTGTAACTGAAAAATGTTCTGATATTTTTGGTTGCAGAAGGCCTTACGACCGGATATGGGTTATAATACATTAGCCAACTTTCGAATAGAAAAGAAAATTGGTCGTGGACAATTTAGTGAAGTTTATAGAGCATCTTGTCTCTTGGATGGAGTACCAGTAGCTTTAAAAAAAGTGCAGGTAAGATGATTTTAATTGTATAAATCAATATTTAATTGTGCTATATGAAAAGTAGAGAAAGGTGTTTCTGGAGTGATTGGGTGATGATAGCCAGGAAAGAATGAGCCTTGTTTCATAAAAACTTCAATGAGTTTAATACTTGAAGTTTTTTTTTTTGTTGTTTTGGTTTTTCTCCGGTACCGGGAACCGAACTCATGACCTTGCGCTTGCCAGGCAGGCGCTTTGCCACTGAGCTAAATCCCCAGCCCCAATACTTGAAGTTTTATTTAAACATTACTTCCAGACTTTTAAGAATTGTTTGGGTATTTTTCACCCATGTCTAGTAGTGACTGGAATGATCCTACAGTTTTCATAGCTTTTAGATTTTTGAAAGGCAGATTGATTTGTCAGCATTAGTTCTAACTGGATATTTAGATATTGAATACTCAACTGAATTTCTGGATATGTAGGTGTCACAAGAGGAAACTAGAATCACAAAAGGTATTATCTGAAGATAAGAAATGACATTCAAGCTTCAGTGGCAGTAACTGAAAAGGAAAATGAAATGAACTTTGTTTACTTGGGGGAAAATGAGGTAGATAAATTTAGATGATTTACTGTATACGAGATATTATGAAATAGGAAGAAAATACTCAACTGGGAAGGGGAATAGGGGAGGAAGGAAGGGAAGAGAAAATAATGAAAAAAGAAGGAAGAAATGGATACAAAACTTGCAAATAAGGAGAGGAAGAGGGGTTGAGGGGAGGATGAGGGAATGGGAAAAAAAGATTAAGTTATGTACAGGTACAAAGTCCCTATGATGAAAGTGATCATTATGTATACTGAAAATGTACCAATAAACTTATTTAATAAAAAAATGGTAAATCCAAAAACAAAACAAAAACAAATCTCCATTTCTGTATTAGTATCATCACAGCATCAGTTTGTTTTCCAGTCTAGACTCTTTTCTGTCTTCTTCAAATGTGTTTTTCTCTCCCAACTTCTTTTCCCAAGTCCTGCCTTGATCATAATCTGGTCCCACTAAACACAAGGTTCTGGGATGCTGACCTGTCAGAGCCATGCCAAGTTTCACCCTCCTCCGTGAGAGCTTTTGCCCTGCAAATTACGTCTTTCTGCCTTCGCCTGTCTTCTTATAGTTACTTCCCTTTGTCAAGTAATGTCTTTAAATTGTTAAAATGATCAGTGTATTTACAATTGCCATTACAGAGATGAACAGATTTTATTAATATTTTTAAGTGAAATATTGTGTTTATGAAAGATTTTATGTTACATGTAAAATAATAATAGAAAATCGTGCTTATCTACAACCAGTTTAAGAAATAAACATTGCATGTATTTACGTATGTAAGTATATATTAAAAAAGTAATTTTCATCAGTACTGGGGATTGAAACCAGGACCTTCACACTGAACTGCGTTCTCCCCTTAGCATGCCCTCTTTTAGATAGTCTTTCACTAAATCAGTGAGTCACTGGGACTGAGGTCAGATCTCCAGTCCTCCTGTCTCAGCCTCTTTGAGTGCAGGGGTTATAGGCGAGCACCACTATGCCCAGCTTCTAAAAATATTTTTGATTTGTGGTTGCTGCTCCCTCTGTCAGAAGTAACCCTTCTGTCAGAAGTAACCAGAAGTAACCTGAATGCAGTTTTTATCCTTGTTTTTTTAGTTTTCCTACATCTATATGAATTTCCAGTATAAAAGAAATCACTTTTGCACATATATATGTATATGTGTGTATATATATGTATATATATGAAAGTTTGCATTTTTCACATAGCATCATGTCTGAACAGTTAATCTGTGTTGGTTTAAGGAACCTTTTCATAGATGTACAGTATTTACTTGTTCTTGTTGCTTGCTGTATGCATTGTTTATAGTTGCTTGCTTGTATAAACAGTGCTTTCACGGTATTCTTGTATATCTTTCCTAACATATACATGTGAAAATGTCTCGTTTGTTCCTAAGAATGGAGGCGCTAGGCACAGGACATGCATGTGTACCACAGGGTAATACAAAGTTTACACGTTTGCTAGGAGCAGCAAATAAGAATTATAACCTTTTTTCTAATATGCTACTTAGAGTGTAAGAAAATATAATACAAAATGTTAATATTAATGTTTATGACAGATGAGTTTTAGAATAATAATTCTCCTACAAAAGAACTTTCTTTGGGGTCTTTTTGAGACAGGGTTTCACTATGTAGTTAGGACTGGCCTTGAACTCCCTATGTAGCCCAGGGTGGCCTTGAAGTTGCATCAGTCCTCCTTCAGCCTCCTGAGAGCTGGGATTATAGGCGTGTGCCACCATGCCTGGCTTTAAATGCATTTTTAAAACATACTTGTTTTGGTTACTTTTCTCTAGTCACTGAGACAAAATACCTGATACCCAGAATTAAGAAAGGAAAGGTTTATTTAGCTTACAGTTTGTGGAGGTTTCAGTCCATACTCAGCTAGCTCCAAGGCAGAGTGGCACAGGACACAGGGCGTCCATTCATGGTGGCAGAAAACAGCAAAAGCAACAAGAGCAAAAGGGAGGAGTGGCAAGCAGTGCTTGCCTCTTCCTCTCCCTTACATACGCAAACTGTCTGCCCTAGGGCAGGTGTAGCACTGACATCCATAATCCCAGCATTGGATCATGGATCAATCATAAACTCTGAAAGCCTGCCCTATGACTGCATGTGGCTTTAGGGGGACATCCAGACACAAACCATAACAATATTCAGTTTTTTTAGTCCATGTTAGCAGTCCATAATGTTTACATTCTTTGTGTGGAGATGGTGCATATGTGGTACTGTACAAATCTTAATTTTCCTTTTCATCCCCTTTCCCTCCTTTTCTGCCCCCTCCCTCCATTATCTTGATCCCCTTCCCATTTGAGAAAGATCTGTTGCCCAACTTCATATTACCTGTCATTTTGCTCTTTATTTATAATTTGTGTTTCTCATATAAGAGAAACCATGTGATATTTAAACTTGTGGTGGTCTGATTTATTTCACCTAACACTGTGATGTCAAAAGTGCATCCATTTTCCTACACATGAGTGAAGTTTATTGTTCTTTATGACAGAGTAGTGCTCCCTTGTGTGTAATATATTTCTCAGCACTGAGGAGAATAAAGCAAGTGATAGTATTTCTACCACCCAGCGGGGAAAAAGACTGTCTAAAACAATTTTCTGTTAAACCCTGTGGCATGGATTTCCGATGAGTTTAAATAAGAATGGGGTGTCACATGAGCCATTGGAAGTGGTGGAATTGGAACTTACATCAAGCTACAAGTGTAAGATTTTATTGTGGAGACACTGGAACCAGGCAGAGGAATTTGGGCAGTAGACAAATGAGGATTCACTGTAGATGCTAACGTAAAAATCTTCAAATTTCATTATTTTCAAACTAAGATTACAAACTCAGCATTAGAGAATGTTCTAAAGGAGGATGACCAGCCCTTTCCCAGAAGTAGGAGTGACCATCAAGAGAGTGGATCTATTGTGAAATCCAGGGCTTTTGTGTCTCCTTGTCTGCCTTTTCATAGATTGAGACTGGAATGAGACTTCTGTCTTGAGTGATTATTTTTTAATTGCAGACCTTGTTATTAAGAATAGAAAAGGGGAGGAAGGAAGAAGGGAGGAAGTGGGTAGAGCACCACTGTGCCCAGCTCCTAAAATATTTTTCATTTGTCTTTGCCACTCTCTTTTGTCAGAAGTAACCATATACTGAATTTAGTTTTTATTGCTCTTCTAGGTTTCTTAGAATTCCATCTGCATTGTTTCTGTTTTCCTGTACTTCTTATTGACTGGAAGGTAGAAGAGGCATGAGTTAATTTGTACAGTAGCATTTCCATTCAGTCTCAACTGTCCTTCTGAACTCATTTTTAAAGTTTGTAAAACTTTTATTACTCTGTGTTTGCAGTACGTAATGATTGCATTTGTCCTGCGGACTTGGTATATGTGCGAGACACGTCTTAATTTTCTTTTTTCACTTCCCTTTTCTGTCCTCTCTCCTTTCTCCCTCTATCTCTTGGTCCCTTTCCCATTTCCAAAAAATCTATCTCCTTGTTTTCCACGATCTTATTTTGTTCTATAAATTACTTATACTTTGGATTTCTCTTCTTTTACACTGTGTTAAGTCTCAAATTGCTCTGGGGGTAGGGAATGTAGCTCAGCAATAGAGTATTTGCTTAAACACTGGATTTGACCTTTCCAGCACTGCAAAAGTAAAAAAAAAAAAAAAAAAAAAAACAGACTTTTGTATGCCTTTATATATTGCCAGCTGTGGTGACTTATGCCTGGAATTTCAGGACTCTGGGAGGCTGAGGCAGGAGGATAGCAAGTTTGATCCCAACCTGGGCAATTTTGTAATTTAGTGAGATGCTATCTCAAAATAATAATAAACAAAGAGTTTAAAAAATGGTTGAGGATATAGCTCATTATGAAGGCCCTTGGTTTCATCTCTAGTTCTTGGGGAAAAGTATTGTGGAAAGTTAAAATTTATGTTTTTGAATTTGTACTTCCTGTCTTTCTTCAGCTTTAGTACTGTGGCCTCTTCTAGTTTAAACATAACGTCTTTATAGAAGAGAGAATGATGTTGAAAAGCTGTACTTAGTTGTATTTAGTTAAAGAAGAATGTCTTAAGCCTTTGTGAGGAGAAATTTATTTGCATTTCAAACGTGTATTGATTCTTGTGATGTATTACACTTGTGCTAAACAAGAAAGCCCATGGTTCTTCCTTTTTTAAAAATTCATCTTTGCAGCTTTAAATGAAGGTCTTTTAAAGTACGGTTAATCAGATGATTTTCCTTATTGAAGAATTCTAACCCAACTCTTCAAAATTCCTAAAGAGTCAGATACTGAATTTCTCCATCTAGCTTATTTTAGGACTACATTACTTGTCTCAAGAGCAACCTGGCTGTTTCTGGCTCTGCTAGGATCCTTCCTGAGTACTTTGCTGAGTTCCAATGATAAAATATTGCTTTTGCTTACAAATCTTAAAGGAAAGAGTTTACAACTAC